TTGAGACGTGAGAGTAGTTCAAGAAGGAGTTGAAGAAGCAATGCTACCCGATGAATGTGGTGTATGAGGCTAGACGGATGCCAAGGGAGCTCCGACAGAGGCCACAATTCGGGAGTATGTGCGCGAGTTCACTACCTTAATGCTGCAAATCTCGTCATTGTCCGAGGAAAATTCCCTCTTCTACTTCATGGATGGGTTGCAAAATTGGGCAAAGCAGGAGTTAAGAAGACATCAAGTAGCCAGCGTGAACAAAGCCATAGGGGTAGCCAAGTCACTTGTTGACTTCAAGATGAAGCCTGCCAAGTCCAAAGAAGGCAACTCCGAGAGGATGAGGGAGATCATGACGAGGACAATGGGAAAGGCATAGCCGAGGTATACAAGGGCAACGGCAAAGGGCCATCCCATAACGGACAAGGTTCTAAGAGAAATAGCAAGGGGCCGAAAAACGGTAGCGAGTACGTGCCTAAGGGAGGGTGCTACTTTTGTGAAGGATCACATCGGGCAAGTGAATGCCCAGAGTTGGGGAAGCTTGCAGCAATGATCGGGTACTTTGCTCAAGCACATAAGGGTGACACATGAGAAACCGCCTGTATTGTAGGGATGCACTTAAAATCTAAGCCGAAAGTAGGGTATTCCAAAGCCTATCTTGGTGCCATACAAATGGAGTATGGTGGCAGCAAGAAAAGTTAGGCGGACATAGTTGAAGAGGATGGCAAGTTACAAAGTGATGGCACGCTATCTGACTTAGATGATGCACCGAGCAGAGGGGTCAAGTTTGCTAGCAAGGCTATGACCACGGTGGGCAGCCAAATAGGGAGTGCAAGCATAGACCCGATGCTTGAGAAGCTGCTAGACTTGGTCGACTCATGGGGAGATTCAGGCTAAGAGCAAGGAGAGGCATCCGATGGGCGGAGGATCGAGGCCATCATTGCTAGCCGTCCAAAGTACAAATGGGGCAAAAAGAAAGGTGACCAGTACCTTGTGACATGGGAAGGTGAACCGCTTCATAGGGCATCATGGCTAATGGAAAAAGATCTCCGGCGACGCCAAGGCAAGGTGCGCACGTACGTGTCGATACTTTGTGCCGAGGGCAACACAAAATTGGGTGGGGGAGAGTGTCATGGCCGGCCACATCATCATGCCACTTGGCACATATTTTTGCCATATGGAAAGCTTACATATGAAATATACTAGCACATGTGGGAAGGTTCTAGAGAAATATGGAGATTTCTCATGGAAGACCATAGAATCCTATGGAATTTCTAGGCTTGTAGAGAATTCTAGAGAAAGCCCTTTTCTTTAAATATTAAGGACTTGTGTAATAATTAATATTTACATACTAGCGCCAAGGATACTAGTATATAAAAGGAGCCATTCATTTGTAATTCATCAAGCAAAACAATCAAGTTCTCTCTAATACAAAAACTTCCTTTGACAAATTTCTCTTGTCTTTCTTTTCTAATATTCTCTTAGCGATCTTTAGTATAGTAAGGCTGACTTGGCATAGCAAGAATGTGAGCAAGTTGTGCAAAATCGTGAGAGAGTTGTCAGGTGTCACACGTGTACTTAGTCAAAGACTAAGGACGTGATAATAAGCCCCTTACAGACTGTAGTTGGTACTGGAAGAAACTTAATTGTCTAAAGGCTCAAATGCAGGGATGGTACACACAAGATAAGTACACTCTAACAGAGAAAGGTGACTATTACATTACGAGTAGTTATCTTGCACTCTTAGGAGACAAACCAAGGCTGGAGATAGCAGACTTAACGTGGACCTCTGTTGCAATACCAAAGCAGAGAATTACAGTGTGGCTGGCAATGCAAGGAAGGCTTCTCACAAAAGAAAGACCGTAAAAGATTCAAATACCAGTGGCTGATAAAAGATGTTGTCTATGTGAAGCTGAGGCAACAGAAACAATGACTCACCTGTCTGGCATTTGCAGTTGGTTTCAGCCCTTAAGACATAAGATAGACTTATGGACAGACATTAAACTACCAGAATGAGTCATCAAACGAGTACTGAAAATCATACAAAGGAAGCACTTGAAGAAGTACAAGAAAGAGCCGGCAGCTGCAATCTATGGAGCTCTTATCACACTTGGTGAGCTAGATACTGGAAATTATTTAGAGGCATAAATGTACATATAAATGAGGCAGTAGTATAGATTAAGAAGGAGATTACAAGTAGAGTAGATATTACGAGAAATTCGAAAAGAACCAGTAGTTACAATTGCTTTGTAACTAGATAGTTGAGTTGTTGGAGGCCTTTCTTTTGCGTAGCAGAAGGGGGGAGCTCTTTATTTGTAACGATTTTTTGGAGTTAATGGTAATTGACAGTTGTTACAAAAAAAATTCAATGGACCCAGCTCTAGAATAAGTAGTAAACATTTGTTCCAATTCTTTGTGAGCGGAAAAAAATTATCTTTGAAAGTGTATGCTATTGTTTAAGGATTAGCTGTCCTATAAGTATTGGTTATGCTCTTTCATAGATCAGTATATCATTAAAATTATATTGTCACCGTAGAAGAGAAAAGAAATCATTGCTTAGAACTCAATAAAATTTTGAAACAAAAAATAAAAAAACATACCCATATTTCTATTAGGATTCTTTTCAATTTGTTAATTGTGACAATAGGCTTCTCCTTATCTGTAGCATTAGTAATTTGCATCATTTATCCATGAAAAAATACCGCAAATAACTCGACGTAAGTTTGAAACAAAATTAGTCTTGCAAATAAGTAATCTGAAGGAGGATGCTCGCATTAATAAAAGTGTCATTTAAGATTGCAATGTTGACATGATTAATTGGGTGCACATGACGCTTATAACCAAGAATTTTGCTCCATTATCGTGGAATAGGTTCATGTTTTGAAACAAATATTGCTCGATACTTTGTAATAGAATCCAAATTTTATACACCTGTATAAATATAGACAAAAAAGTTAAAAAAAAAATTGTACTTATTTTGAAGTGTAGTATTATTACAAGATATAAGACTTCTAAGTTCACTTATTTATATTACCAAGGGTTAGTGCAGGTTAATGAGATATTAGCCATATGTTTGCAATATATTACCTTGAATCTTGTCGTAAAAAACTTTATTTTATAATATAAAAATTTGAGTAGTTAAATTCAAAGTTCTAAAATATTTCTAATGTTAAGAAATAGGCATTTTCTTTCGTTTTTAGACATATTTTATATTTTTTTCTACAATCTTCGCTGTCTAAATAAAAATATTATTCTATATTCCATCATTAATATTTTTTGGGGTCCCAAAATTTTGGGGGATTAAAGTAAACGTTTACTACCCTCACCACTGAGCCACTCATAGCCCTAATACAACCATATACCAAAGGCATTTTAACTCTGTACTTAGTGCGTGGTAAAGTATTGTGAATTATATTTTGCCATATGTAATTAATTTCCCCCACTAGTTCTGTCAAAGCTAATGTTAGATTATTTAGAAAGAATTACAAGAAAATACACATGACTACATATCATAACAAAAAATGGCACATGTTTTTAAGTTTTACCCGACCTAACCCATATTGTATATATTTTGAAAGCATTAGCAAATTCAAAATATGTGTTCTTACGACCATTGCTTTTAAAAGCTATGGAATTAAATCTGTATTCTCACAATCATTGCTTTCACTCTCTCTTCTTCTCACATCTTCTACCTATGCTTCAAGGGGCCGTATATTTCTGCTTCTTTGCAATGTAAGAAAATTGAAGAGCAGAAGTCCATCATTGAAGACCATTCAAAGCTTTGCTTTCGAAAATGAGTTTTTTTGAGTTTGTTATTTGTTTGGATTGGGTGTTGTTTCAATTGATTGAAAATATCAAAAGGAGTTCAAAATTTAAATTTGAAGTGATTTGGAGTAGATATGAGTTAAACTTCAGAAAAGACGCAAGGAAGAAGATGAAGTCAGTTTTTTGTATAATTATGTATAATCTTGTATAATAGTGTATAAACACATCTTATACACTATTATACACTTTTATACACATTTATACAAGCGTCCGTAGACGATCTTCTTCCAAGATTTTCAGTTACAATTCTTGTTCAAACCAGTCCAAATCTCCATTAAATGACTTCAAATTTTATATACAACCTCCTTATACTATTTCTAACAAATCTAAATAATACCCACTCCAAATTTCTCACAAATCAAATTCAGAATTTAAACCCACATATTTAATCTTGTTAAAAATCTAATTTTCACCACCCAAATGGATTTGGTTTGTTGAACTAATATTTGAGTTACAGTTATTGATTCGAAAATTAACTTAAAAGCTTGAGAATCTTTTTTAAAAATTAAATAGTAATTTTGAGAACATATTGGAGTTGGATGTTGAATCTTAGCCTATTATTTTTGGGCTAGTTGGTTGTAAATTGAAATATGAGCTATAAAATTGAAAAGTAGGGAGACCAGTTATTTTAATGTGAAATATTCCCTATTATTTATCATTCGTCTATGAATCTCACATTAATATGCATATGAAAGTTACAGTAAGAAAAAAATTAATGTCTTTGTCTACTTCTTGAATAAAGGGGTAAAATTTTGGCGTCTTTAAAAAAAAGGAATTTTGGTTCATATGTCGGAGTGTGAATGAGTTAAATTTAATTATTCGTGAATTAATAAATCAATGTCATGTATTTAACTAAAAGACCCATATATTTTATCAGCTTCGGTTAAAAGGAGGAGCAATTTTGGAGTTAGTTTTTGTAACTGTAGGAGAATATTAGGGTCCAATAGTAAACGCAAGCTCTTCATCATCCCAATGTCCAAAAGAGCATATCTTTTTCTTTTATTTTTTTTCCTTTCTCGACTAATTCCAATTTTTTTAATTTAGAGGATAAAATGCTTCCTACAAAAAAAAAAAAAATTAATCGAAAAAACTTGATAAAAAATTTCAAATAAAAATAAAAAATAAATAAAATAAAATAACGAAAACTAATTTGTGAAGTAGGGTATTTAATTTCAGTGCCGCCGAGATTATACTACAAATTTGGGCCGGTGACATTATCTACTAGGCTTCATATCTCCATAGGAGCCAGCTTCATTATGTTGAGGAGCCCCCTCTGAACAAAACTAAGATTCGTTCTATTCATGAACTCGATTTTGCAAGTAGAATCTTAGATTCAGCTAACAGAGACATTTCATCAAACATGTTGTTAACAATCAGACAAGCGAGGCAAAAAACTAGAGCTCTCTTCAATCATCCTCTATATGTGTTATACTCCACTAACATTCCTCCTCCTGCCGCCAATTCAATCCCTGCATATCCATTTTTACCTTCATCTGTCTCAGTTTCTTCTTCTAATGTTTTGTCAACTTCTAGAGTAATTGAATTACAGCCCAAAGATGTTGTTTTGTCCTTTAAAGAGTGGTTCATGAGCAGAAAAAACCCAGTTTTCGATCGGATCTTTGAGATATTGAAGACACAAGATGATATTACAGCTGATATATCGCTGTCTCGATTTAACCTTAGACTCTCCGAGGCTTTGGTTCTTGACGTGTTAAATTACGAGAAAAACAAGGATGTTTTATCCTGTTTGAAGTTCTTTGATTGGGCGGGTCGACAGCCGGGTTTTCATCATACCCGGGCGACGTTTAATGCCATTTTTAAGATTTTGTCGAAGGAAAAGTTGATGTCTTTGATGGTTGAGTTCTTAGATAAGTATATGAAGCAAAGGTATTTTCATAAAGCGAGATTTTACAACACTTTGGTTATTGGGTATGCCGTGGCAGGCAAGCCTGAGCTTGCACTCCAACTGTTCGGTAGAATGCGTTTTCAGGGTGTTGATTTGGATGCGTTTGCTTATCATGTGTTGCTTAATGCATTGGTGGAGGATGGTTTTTATGATGCGTTTGAGATGGTTTTGAAGCAGATTAAGTTTAGGGGTTTTGAGGATTCGATAACACATGCTATATTCGTTAAGAGTCTTTGCCAGCAAACGGAGCTGGATCGAGCTGAGGAGTATCTTAGAGGGTTGTTGAGAAATGGAGGGGTAGGGTTGAGTGGCATTGTGGTGGCTAATCTTGTGGATGCTTTGTGTAAAAGTAAGCAGTTTATGAGAGCTGCAAGTTTGGTGCAGGATTTTAGAGAGTCTGGTTTGGTTCCGATGGAACAGGCATATAGTGTGTGGATTAAGGACCTTGCTCTGGCCGGGGAGCTAAGTGAGGCAGTAGAATTTCTGAAAGGCAAGAAACTACTTGATGGGTATGTTCCTGATGTATTTCGTTATAACAGCTTAGTGTGTCGGCTTTTAAGAGAGAACAGGTTAGAGCAGGTTTATGACTTGTTGATGGACATGAAGGATCAAGATATAGTACCTGACGATGTCACCATGAATGTAACTTTGTGCTTCTTCTGCAAGGTGGGGATGGCTGATGTTGCCTTGGAGTTGTATGATTCGAGAGCTGAATTTGGACTCTCTGTAAGTAGTATGACCTATAACTATCTGATAAATACTCTATTAGGTGATTCAAGCGTTGATGAAGCGTATTTCGTGCTGAAGAATGCCATTGAACAAAGTTATTTCCCTGGTAGGAGGACATTTTCTATTATTGCTGATGCTCTTTGCAGAGAGGGGAAGCTCGATAGAGTGAAAGAGTTGGTTCTTGCTGCTCTAGATCGGAATTGCATGCCCAGTGACTCGACCTACAACAAGTTCATATCAGCCTTATGTAGGGCCAGCAGGGTGGAAGATGGATACTTGGTACATGGAGAGCTCAGCAGATTGGATAGGGTTACTAACAAGAATACTTATTTTCACTTGATTAGCGGCTTTAACAAGTCAAGCAGGGGAGATATTGCAGCAAGATTGTTAATAGAAATGCAAGAAAAAGGTCATAGTCCAGACCGGAGATTGTACAGGGCGGTTATTTGTTGTTTATGTCAGATGGAGGATCCAGAGAAGCTATTTTACAGTTTATTAGAGGTTCAATTGTCTCGGCATGAACCTAGCTGCCTCATTTATAATTACTTCATCGATGGAGCTGGTCATGCCGGAAAGGCTGAGCTGGCTAGAGATGTTTATGAGATGATGAAGAGAAATGGTATCACACCGAATTTGCAGTCTGACATTTTAATATTGCAAAGTTACTTGAAAGCTGGAAAAATTGCTGATGCTTTAAACTACTTCCGTGACTTGTCCAATAGAAGAAGTCTAGGAAGAAAACTATGGAACACCATGATTGTTGGGCTTTGTAAAGCTAACAAGCCCGAAAATGCGTGGAACATGTTCTGGGAGATGAGATCAACTGTTTTGCGGCCAAGTATGGATTGTTATGAGGAACTTGTTAAATTGCTTTGCTCGCAAAGAGATTATTATAAGGCTATTCTTCTGGTTGAAGACTTGATGCAAGTTGGTCGTCGGATGTCATCCTTCATTGGCAATGTACTTTTGTTACACTCTTTACAAACTCCAAGAGTCTTCAGTGCATGGATGCACTCAAGAGATTTGCGCAATATGAAGGATCACAGCTTAGCATTAGGGGAGCTGATAAAGACTTTCTCTGGTGGTAGTAATCTGGACGGAGATATTTTAGAAATGGAAGAATTGATTCGACAATGCTTTCCACTTGACATATACACTTACAATTTGTTGTTGAGAAAACTAACCATAAGTGAAATGGACCTTGCTTGCAAGTATTTCGACAGATTATGCAAGAAAGGATATGAGCCAAATCGATGGACTTACGATACATTAGTTCACGGCTTCTTAAAAGTTGGTCGATCTTCTGAGGCTAGAAAGTGGATGGAAGAAATGTTCAGTAAAGGTTTTGATCTGACTGAGGCTACAAAGACATTTGTCTAAACTAGCTTTGAATTTCATTCTAGATGGAATGGGGTCCCTCATTCAGGTATTGAAATGCAAGATTGTTTGATATTTTACTTTGTTGTATTCCTCTTGTAAGGAGAGAAAACATCAGCTTCTTTTAGCCTTTTCCACACCCCTTGCACTAAGCTCCCGCTGTGCGCAGGGTCCATGTAAGAGGTTGTTTCCATGGCTCGAACCCGTGACCTTCTGGTCACATGGCAACAACTATACCAGTTACGCCAACGCTCCCCTTCAAAAGATATAGCAAAAGAATTCTGGCTGTTTTACTAATTTTAAAAACCCAACTCCTATGACTAAAAGACAATAGAAGTAATCTAGGATCTTAAGTTAAGTGGGAGGACATAATTGCAACTCCGGGAGAAAACCATGAGCAATGACCAGGAAAGTTTTTTAGCTTCACCTTGTATCTCTCTGGTATGGAAGTGTTACCTATAAAAGCAAAATTTGATCTCTTATGAAGCCTTAGGGGGAATTCCTCTCACATTGTAAACTTTGCTCAGTTCCTATATTATTAGCGCGCTTCGCCTTGCCTCTGGAGCTCTTTTCTTTAGAAGTTTTTTCATGGGAGCTCGCCCCTAACCCTTGTTTAGCTTATGGTCTTTCAACTGCCTTTAGAACTGTTGCTAGTGCCACTGGAGTTTCTGTGTTTTCATTCATATTCAATATTCAACTACTGAAGGGAAGAAGCAGCGCTCGCATTGTCCTTTTCCTTCGTGTACTCTAAACATCTGACTTTGAAATTCTGCGTTTTAGGTTGGTTTGCTTGGATGTGATTACTGATGTGGCTGTCTGGAAGTAAGTCGGTGGCACATGAAACCTTAATGGAAATATTAGTGCATTTGAAGATGGAGTACTCGTGGTTGTAGGCCGGAAGAATTTTCTGGATTCAACTCATGAGCAGTGAAGTGGCCATATAAGGGATGTCATATCCTGTGCTCGGAATGAATCAGAAAGGTTGAGAAGTGGTATCGGGACCATGGAGAAAAGCCTCAACGATGTGATAGCCAACCGATTAACAAGCTTACCTGCTTCAGGTTTGAAACCACTTGATTTGAAATGGTTATAGGAATTTTTAGCAGTTTGTAGATTTTGGGCTTATTTTCATCTTGTTGAATTCTGGGTTGTAATTCTAATATCTTTGGCATGTTGTGGCATCTAGCTGGAACTCTGACTATTCTAGTTAATAATTTCCTAAAACTAAATTTCATGGAAAACTTTGGTGCACCAACAAAGTAATTTATTAGTATATAAAGTGTTGATCATGTCCTTCTGAATGCATCTATTTCCAAAATATGTATGGGTATTGTTGTTATCTCCGGCTCAGATTTTCGATTTCTACTAGATTTTGAAGAGTTTGGATAGAAATAATAAACATTCCCCGTGTCCCCCAATTTGTATTAGACACGAAGATTAAGAAAGGAAGACTTTCACACTTAAGTTAGATATAAATAAAATACCAAAGGTACTGTCATACCAAATAATTCATCTCAGCAGGGGCACCGGGGCCTACAACAAGCATGTCAATGACAAAATGGGAATAAAAGTTAATTGGTTTCTAATTATAGAGAGATGCCAATCTTTGGGAGGGAAAAGGAAATAGTGTTAAACAAATTGGGAGATGGATTAATAATAATGATAATAGTCATTACAATTATTTATTGTTTTGGTTCCTAGCGGAGGCAAAAATACTAGGTAATTTCTTCACATCTATCCAAGCCCTGGTGGACGGAGTACCCGGTACCTGTGCTGGTGGGAGGTAACAGGTACCGCGTGTATTTTGTCAAGGTGTGCGCAAGCTGGCCCCAACACCACGGTTATCAAAAAAATTATTTATTGCTTTGATGAAGTATATGTTTAAGAATTTAACAAGTGATTATGCATCATATTTTCATTTATTTCTATCATCATCACCATTATTATTTTTAGGGATTCTGCATAAGTGCATTAAGAGCATTTGAGTGTGATAGGCGTTGTTCCTGCATTACGATTGTGGTTGTCTCCTCCCGTCTTCAAGCTGTGATGTCTGCTTTCACCTGCTTAGCAGTTTATATCATTGGACTTTAAGCTGCTTTGGAGGCTATCCATAACGATACCAACTTCACCTCTACAGGTTAACAATGCATGATAACCATTGGGGCTCAGTTTTAGCAATAAAGGTCTTTAGTCAGTGGGTGGATCACAAAACTGATACTGTTCTTTTGCTGTTTCTGATGCAAAATAGAGTTTCTCAGTCATGTGTGGTCGGCCTTTTGCCAAACCTATCAAGATAATACTTCCCTGCATGAGATGGTCCAAAAGTTAGTGAAGTCCTTGAGGAGAACTGATATAGTTTTTCACTGTATATTGCTAGATAGTTCTTGCTAGCTTGTACTTTCGTAGTAGCTTGTAGCCTTGTACGATGCTTAGCAGGAGTTTGCCAGGCGCCATCTTATGCAGCTACTTTTCTAGATGGTTATCTAGCACATACGGAAATTGTCAGGCACCATAAAACATAATGGGTAAAAGCTTAATATTCTGTTATATATTGTTGCTGAGTTCTTTAAGGAGACGTTTGGTACGAGTTATAAGAAGGTATAAGGGTGGTATAAAAATTTAATACCACCTTAATACTCTGTTTGGTTAGCAAACCACGTATAAGTTATCCCGGTGTTAATTTTAACACTGGGATAACTTATACCTTATAGAAGGTGGGGTAATTAGCACCTGTATAACTTATACCTTCTTCTTAGGAATTATGCAATTGTCATTCTTAATACAACATACCAAACAATGAATAAACAACAATCCCAGCATAACTTATCCCAATATAACTTATACCGGTATAAATCGTATTCCAGCCAAACAACCCATAAAAGGTTCGTTTATCATGATAGCTGCTTGTGCAGAGGTATAGCAGTTGCTTATGTAGTGATTGATTGATTCATGATAGTATGTCCTGTAGAATGCTAAGCACTGATTTGAAGAAAACACAAATGCTCATATTTTAGTTTATTGGTTCCGTCGGTATAAAACTAGAGGGGCTGTGAATGATGTGGAGTAGAGTCCTTTTATATAATTTGAACTTTGAGGGTAATTGCTATTCTCAAGACAATTTAAGGAGTTCCTTTTTTGAGACATTCTTGGCTTTTATTTAGCAGATACAGTTCATCTGTGGAAGAAATTGAAACCGTGAACCACTTGTTTATTCATTGCAGATTTGCATGGGAGATATGGATCATTTTCCTGAGGTTATTATATGGAATACAGTGGGTGATGCCTGGAGATCTGATAGTGATACTGCAGTGCTGGCAAGGGCAGACAGTGGAAAAGAGACGAAGAAAAGATTGGAAGATCATACCTTTATGCATATTATTCGACTGTGGGGGCAAAGAAGAAATGATAGAATTTTTTGAAGGAAAAAAAGAGGAATATTTCTTATGTATAATCTAAAATGCATTCAAACTATTTTGGTGTAAGAGAAATATTGAAGATAGCTTAGATAGAATCCTAGAATTTTTTCACTCCTTTCAATCATAGGAGTCAACTAGAGACTTCTGTACTATGTCAATACCTCCTTGGTACTGTTCAATCAATAAAATTACCTATTTATCAAAAAAAAAAAAAGGAAGTTCTCCCTGTCTTTTTGGATAATATATTTCTTTGTTTGTATCAATAATTGTGAATATTTACCTGGGAGAATTTTGCTGCCTCAGTTCCTGTGATTACTTATTGATGTAAGGATCATATGTTAGTTCTTTGATCAAATTTGGACATTATATCTGATAACTATAAAAAAAAAAAATCTTTCCCATGTAGGGAAGAATGTTTCCAATCTAAAGATGGAGTTTGAATTTGAAAAAAGATTATTATTGCAACCCATATTGCCTGAAAACTTTAGCAGAATTTGATTCAATCCATAAAGATAAGTGTGCCCGTATCTGTCTGAACATTCTGTGTCCTATTCTTTTTATTTTTTTATTTTTTATTTTATTCCCCTCCCCGTTTGATTCAGCTTTGTTGGAGCTATTGCTCCTTTGGTGACTCGAACCCACGACCCTGGGTTGTAGGTGACCATCTGAGCAACCCCTTTTGTCCTGTGTCCTATTCAATTGCCACTGAAACTGGCTACTCTGCATTGCCAGAAAAAGGGCAGGAGAGAACTGAAATTCATCTAGCTATGACAAAAATGAGACAATTCACAAGAAGACTTATTGATCTTAATAATAACAAAGTGTAAATATTTAAGCATCACTTGTGTAGTTTTTCATCTTTCCAAGTACACACCCATGTCTTACAAACTCATTTTGAATTCACCGTACATGTCAAGGGTCAAGCCTCTCCTGTACCCCAACCCCTCAAAGAATCTAGTCTCTACAAATGGCAGAACAACAGTTTATATTACCAATCTACAAATTCTAAGAATAATGTATGTCATGTACTCCTAAAATATGGTGGATAAGCAAATGCAACTGCGCGTTCGGCATTTCCCCTGAATCCAAGCTGTGAAGCTCCAATAGGCAATCCACCAGACATTGTTCAATTCATGTAGTATTTTGCACCAATTGGCGACCCTGATTGCTCAGATGGGAGAGAACAATGTTCAAGCAGTGTCCCTTTGCCGGTCTTGCAATATTAAAGTTGAGCAAAAAGAATTTCATTCCATGTATCAGGAACACCAGGCAAGCACCAATGCAAGCAATCCTGCATACCGGGTGTTGCTTTGATGCTGTATCGAGATATATGACCCTCATCTCTCAGCTCAGATACAGCTGTGATATCCAAAAGCTTTACAGCTGTTCCTTTTACTGCCCTTGCTGCAGTAGAATCACTGGATTCATCTTGTAGAACCTCCTTTCCACCAGCAAGCGGAGTAGTGTTATCACAGGTGCCTCCAGTGTTCCAATCTCCATTAAAAAAATGCCTGGGCGATATAGACCGGTAAAATACTTTAAGACCAGGGTATTTTGGCAGCTCAGAATTTACCCAATTAATGATACTGTGAATCGTAAAATTCTTGGCACCAGCAATATCAGCAATTTTCCTGTTCGTGTTAGGAACGCCACCAACATGCATGACCCACCGGTTGGCGTTAAGCTTTCCTCTATTCCAATGGTGTCCTGTGTTTAGCACAAGGACATCAAATCTGGGTAGGAAACGACTCAAAAATGCTGGCGGACGATCCAGGTGCATGGCGTAATCAGTAGCAGGGTTAGAAGCATTAATGGGTGTTAAGTTACACAGACTAGCAGACCAATAGTAAAGAATAGTTGTTTGGGTACTCGGAAATCGATAAGCCCATCCATCAGGTCGTTTAGCACCACGAGCCTTTACAAGACCATATTCACGTCCCACGTCGAGAACATCAGGTCTGTCTTCACCACCAGTAATCATACACATAAGTGACTGAAATTGCTGTCTACCGAGGGAATCCCCAATAAAAGCCAGAGTTTTGTTTTCCATCCTGGATGCACAACCAAGTTCAGAAAATTCCTTGTATGTAAAGCCAATTAAATATCACCTGAAGAAGGGAGAAAGCAACACCATATTCTATGCAACAACAAAACTTAGACACTGAAAAATAGTGCAAACAGAATCATCTCTAGAGAGATAGCATGCACTACATAAGGGAGTTTCACAGTCACAAATTCTTGCAGTTAATGTGAGATACATGTTCTAATGTCTTGGGTTTACTCAAGCTTACACTTCTGCCCTTGGAAATTACATTACAAGCCATGATAGGTAGAGTACTATTAATGCCACAGACAGAACAAGAGAGAAGGTTTTAATAGAGTTCATAAGAATTTTTTTAAGGTTATACACATCCCAGGCATCAAAAAATCAATTGCAGAAAAAGGAAAGCATACCTTTTCAGGAAGTTAGCACCTGTAAACTCTTCCATCTCGCAATCTCTTGGTCTCCAACGTAGTTTCTCGTATTCAAAATCCATACGCTGTGTCAAGCGGCAAGCCCACATGGATGACAACCATTGCTTGCAGCCAAATCCAGAATATAGAGGCCTACTATCATCTGTGACCCATCTACCTTTAGCAAAATTACAACCTGGAAGTTAAGATAGGGGTATTAGTAACCAATTTCGTACTAACCATTGTACCAAATTCACCAACCAATTTAAGGATAGGTCAATTGGCAAACAAGGCCTTTTTTAAAGATAATCCAGAACCCAAGGGTGAAAAGAATTGGAAAAAAGAAAGAAATTAGGAATTAGTTCAATGACAATGTAATCAAATTCACCAGGATTTGACTTCCGTGGGCAGTAGAAGTTTGTTTTACAAACCTCTAAGATGAATTCTACAGCTAAATGACATCAACGAGAAAGGAAACAGAAAATCAAAAAAGAAAGATGATCACCATGATCTTTTGAGGCGGATGTCAAATTTTTTATAGGGCTGTCTGCAGAATTCACTGGACCAGCAACTTCATTTTCTTGTTCTCTTGAACTACTTTTTTCTTCCAAAGCTCCTTTTAAATATCCTTTTTGGGCAAAGCTGGGAGGAATACCCGCACTTCCTGAAAAACACCATTAAAACATCAAGCTGTAGAGACTAGAGATTGCTTGACCAAAATAACATCTCAGGATACAAAGATATTATAAAACATGTACCAGCGGAAGTAGTTCTTTAATGCAGAGAAACTGACACTTAGGCAAATATAAATCAAGTTGAGGAGTTGAAGCAACAGATTCCGTACACGGTAAGCAGATTAGGAGCTATTTATTCATACAACTCAGAAAAAGGAAGTTTCTCTTTCTTTTAATTTGAAGGACAGAAAACAGACACATTGATGTATGAAGCAGAGAAAGAAAGGGACTTTACTATAGCACTAATTTTTTAATTTGAGGCACTCAGAAAAGATGAAAGATTGTACTCAAACATACCATACCTTCTATCTCAGTATTAGTCAGTTCTTCAGTCACCTTATCCTTTGTTGAAGACCCCTTAGTAGATGAATTTGAAATGGTGGGTTCAAAGTTCACGCTTTCTTCTGATTTCCCTAATCTATTTCGTTCTCTTAAAACTTCTTCATCTTTCACTTTATAATCTGCAAGAGAACAGAGAATAGATAAGTAACTTAAAGCAGCGTCTCCATCAAGTTCTATTTACTCTGTCATAATAATGTTGTCCTTTTCGGTTTGTCCTAAAACAGCTACTTGTATTAGAGAGGAAAGTTCCTCCCTCAACATTTATAACTGGTGCCAAATACATATTGTTTCAAACCTAACGTGACATCTTACCAACTAACATTTCAACTTTTTCATATTTGAAGCATTATGTTAAACACTTCCAAACACATCCCACCAAACTGCATAAGACAACCTGTCCAAGCATTTCGCTCTCAATAGCAACAAACTAGGTATCTTTAATGGGATATATCCACTAAGGGGGACTTTAAATTAGTAGTCATATTGGTTATTACTTAGTTGTTGAAGAAACAGATGATATCATTATTTACGGAGAAAAAGTTGAGAAAAGAAAATACATGATTTAGCACAAATGCACAATTCAGGCAGATCAACAGGTGGAGCAGGTATCCACAACAAAAGAAGATCGTTACGCAAAAGAACCAGACAAAACATGCAAGAACCGCAGCTTCTGCCAAGTTTCCTGTCATCTAAACTCGAATACAGCAATGTGTTCCAGCGCAAAAACACCTTTTTTTTTGTTTAGACATGCTTTGTTCTGGTACCTGCTATCTACAATGCCTGCTCCAGTGGTATTGGTTTAAAGCAAACACTGGCACATAAATGCGTTTCAATCTAAGAGTGATCCATTCCATTAAGCATATACAGAAAGTTCTTTTTATAAAAATAAAAAAGGTTGAACCCAAGTAGCAGCAGCTTCTACGGCCTCATATACTACCTTATCTTTAAATGGCTCAACATTCTTGCTACTCTGAAGTGGAAAATGAACTACTAATGGTATGGAAAATATCAAAAGAGAATTTATGCCAAACCTGGAGAAATCTGGAAGACACGATCTTGAGATGGTGCCCAAGAAGATAGGAACGGGCTTTTCACGTATGCCAGAGTAATAACAGTGGCGCAGACAAATCCAATAAGGATGAGAGAGATCCGTGGCACCTTTAAACCTCCCTTCATCCTCAATGCATAGGATTTATATACTTGAAGTCATTCCACCTTAATGGATGTTTTGTTCACTTCAGATAATATCTGAAATTGTTGAAGGAAAATGTTTGAGGCAAGACCGAGAAATAGTGTTTCGGGTGTAAGAAGATTGATTAGAGATTCACAGGGCAATTTTTAGACTCATGATATAGACAACAGAAAAATAACAAAAAGACACCTTCATCACAACATGATAGACAGTAATTCTCTACTAGCCACCAAGGCACACAATTGTGCTGTAAAGTGTATCAGAAGTTAAACAAGTACAAATACAAACTTGAAAAAGAAGATATTGTTTGGGGGTGATGAGGGTGTTATACGAAAAGATATTGTTAATAGGCTCACAGTACAGTAAGTTCAAAACTACCTCTATCTCCCTTCATTATTAAATAGTATAGATATGGGATGAAAAAACCTCTAAATGTTCGAGATGCCTGATACCTTCCTTCGTAGGAAACTACAATCAAATAGTCAATAGTACTTGAGATTCCTCTTGGACTAAGACAGCTATCTATCCTTTAGCTTCTTTCTCCAGATTCAAGAGCCCCTTTTTGGGTTACCCCACCTAATTTCATTACCAAGCTGCCCCTGCCTTGACCCTCTATAATTACCTTCATAAAATTGGTCCAACCTTGCATCTTAATACTTCAGTTTTGGACATAACACAGAGCTGCTTTTTCATATAGATGCGTCAACTATGAAATTTCATATTGAGGCAGATCCATTCAATATCTCTGTTCCCTAAAGAACTAGTGTTAATTATTAAGTAAAAACTAGTTCGATGCTAGTAAAAAACGAGCCCCTTGCTTTACCAATATCAAGGACTAATGTCAAACAGTTTCAATTGGTGCAGAGCCAAATAGGAAGTTGATGCAAATGTGAAGTCCAATAAAATCAAGGAACATTAACCACGCATAAAAAAATGCATTAACAGGAAAATTTAAAAAAAAAAATTGCATAGATTAAATACATACACAGCACGAAATATTCAAAAAAGTTTGGATCTTTAAGCAATTAAAAAAGCAGGCAAATAGAAGAACATACAAAAACAAACTGAATTACGTCGATATTAGGATAAATACTACAATCTATAAATGTATACCTGAAAATGACTGAAATCTAACCTCCGAATCCTCGGATTTGATCTTGGAACAATAATTCTTTAGCAAATAAAAAATTAAATTCAGTTTCGAAATATTTATGCAAAATTGAAGTTCAGAAGAAAATGCAATGAGGGTAAAGTTTGAAGAGGAAAGCTGGAGAAGAAGGAAGAAGCTGAAAGTGTGAGGACGAATGAGAAACGGAGGAGAAGATCGCGGAGACAGAGAAATGAAGGAAATTATATACTGCAACATTTATTATATATAGAATTTAATTTTTATGCAGTCAAATCTTCTTTCACCGACAATCAATTACTACAGTATTTATTAGTACAAGTACAAATATAAATATTAATAAACAACCTGTCACATTCCATTATATTACACCAAATGTAAAAATACAAATGTATATAAATTGGTAGTATATAGATTCAAATTAGACATATTGACGGTATAAATACGTCTAATATAGTTATAACATTAACTTAATTTCATCATATCAAATCGTTCTTATGATAGAGAATAGATAAGTATAATGCTAAGAAATCTTTATAAATTTGGTGTATAAAAATTATAAGAAATTTAGTATTAATACTTAAATTTTAGGAGGGGTCAACTAATTTAAACAATCGTGCTTTGATACTTAAAAAACTTGTTACCATGCAGTTTGGACTGAACTACTTCTTGTCCCTTCTAATCTATTAATATTACATAGGCAAAATACCTTACCCCCTCCTAAATATAACACGGATTATTAGTTACAACCTTAAACTATTTGCGGTATTAATTACCCCCCTCAACTTGGCCTTTTGAGAGGTATTACCCCTGGACACTGATGTGACAAAAAGTATGGGTGCACTCGCTTACCACGTGGGTTTTTCTATATAGGTGACATTTTTTTGAAAAAACAAAATATATTTTTACCTTTATAAGTATGTTACTTTTTTAGATAAATTTTTTCGAATACAATTTATAATAAAACTTGGATAAAACTACATTATTTATGCTAAAAAAATTTATTTGGCAAAATAATAAAGTTTTAGTTAATCTTTTTTTGAATTTGACATGAAAATAAAGATTTATACAATTGAAATAAATAGTCAAGGCGTCTAAAAAGTTATAAAAATACATAGTTTGAAATTAATTATTTTGGCTATAATTTTTTATATAGCTCTAAATTATGGTGCTCTATAATACTTTTTACAAATTTTACCTGAAAAAGTAAAAATACGCAGATGAAATAAATAGTCATTGCATCAAAAGAAGAAATAAAAAGAATGTACAACTGCAATAAATAACTTATTATTTCTAACATACTTAATGCTCTAAAAATGTATCCATAGAGTACGTTATTTCTTGTAATTGTACACTTTTTTTATTTCTTCTTTTGATGCAATGACTATTTATTTCAACTGTGTATTTTACTTGTTTCCGGTAAAATCTGTAAAAAAAAAATATTTTTAGAGCGCCGTAATTTAGAGCTATATAAAAAATTATAGCCAAAATAATTAATTTCAAACTATGTATTTTTATAACTTTTTAGATGCCTTGACTATTTATTNNAAGTTTTATTATAAATTGTATTCGAAAAAAAATTATCTAAAAAAGTAACATACCAACAAAGGTAAAAATATATTTATTTTTTCAAAAACAAACCCACATATACAGAAAAATCCACGTGGCAGGTGAGTGCACCCGCACTTTATGCCACATCAGCATCCAGGGGGAGAAAAGATTAAGTTGAGGGGGATAATTAAGACCACGAATAGTTTAAGGCTGTAACTAATAATCCGTGTCAAGTTTAGAGGGTGATTAGGCATTTTGGCATATTACATATATAGAAGTCCACAAACACTTTTTTATGGTTCTTGTAACTATTTTCATAGATTGATAGATCTTAAATACTCTTGCCTTAAATGGACCGGGTCAGCCCGGTTCCGGACCGGCCCAGACCGATAGAACCCGGAACCGATAAGGGGGGGCTGGGCTGGGCTAGGCTGGGTAGGGTGGGTTGGGGTGGGTTTGGACGGTTTAAATTTTTGAAACGGGTTACCCGGCCCGGTAAAACCCGTTAGATGAACAGTGCCGTTAAACCGGTTAACTGGCCCGGACCGGACCGGCCCGGAATGTGAATATAACATGAATATACCATAAATATACTATAAATATACCATAAATATACCATGAATATACCAATTATTGTATACTAATTAACATAATTTAAAATTGTTGGAATTTAACATATAGTGCATATATTTAGGGTATAAAACTATAAATGCTCAAACATAGAATATGATGGTAACGTATTATTTTTAAAATATGCTATATATGTGTTATTTTAAGATTTTAAGACAATTTGTGTTATTTTAAATTATTAGACGTATTTATGCTTAATGATTTAGTTTGTTAGATTAATTTGAAGTATTATTAATTTATTATGCATGAAAATTTATTTTACTATTATTTGTTAATTTACTTTTTAAATGCAAACTTTAATTTTGTAATTTTGAAATAAATATAGCACTTGCAATTTATAAGTACAATTTTTTCCCATCTTCCTTGTATTCTTTATGTTAGTACTTTGTATTAATACTATAACTTACAATATTTATACAAAATCCAAAAAAAAAAAAAATTATACTAAACCCGGCCCGGCCCGGCCCCCTCAACCCGTAACCCTTATGGTTCAATTTTTACCCGGATGAACCCGAACCTGTTAAACCCGTTAAGACCCAACCCGTAACCGGCCCGGACCGTAACTCGTACGGGTCCAAAAAATATAGGCCCGGCCCGGCCCACCAGTTAAACACCTTTACTTACAGCTAACCGAATAATCAACCGTGTACCTCATAGTAAAACACATTCCATTCCCTATAAAAAGTGGAAAGGAAGGAAGCCCAGCTTGAAATACTTCAAATTGTGGGGGTGTTTAGCTAAGGTACAAGTTCCTAAACCTAAAAGGGTTAAGATAGGTCCAAAAACGGTTGATTATGTATTTATTGGATATGTAACCAATAGCAAGGCATATCGTTTTCTGGTTCATAAGTCAGAAAATCCTGAGATTCACGTTAATACGATAATAGAATCAGATAATGCTGAATTCTTTGAAACTATTTATCCGTATAAAAAGGAAAGTGAAGTGACCTACCAAAAGTCAAAACGACCTTGGGAGGATATAACA